GACAAATTGAATGACAAGTTTGGGAACAGTTCACAGATTTTGGCCAAAATAGGGACACAACAAGAGATTAAAAGACAACGCGAGGAATGGATGACAGAAATGGGCAAATCTTCCGCACCAAAGATACGCACAAAGTGTGAATTGGTTGGCAACTTGGGAACTACAAGACCTCACTTCCTCCTCATCGACCACTTCATCCAACTCTTAGAACTGAATTGAATTGTGTTTTGCTTTAAAATTACTTATTTTTATTAATTATAGTTATAGTGAATTCATTAATTCATTATTTAGTAGTCTTTGAATTGTTTTATAATTATGTAATGAACAAAAAACTTAATGTTTAATTCTCTAACGTTTGTTTGGTTTGTATTTGAATTTGTAATATTCATGTGACCACCGATTACTGGCAAAGAGCTTGGATGTGATCTGTGGCAAAGAGCACATGACTGTTAGGGCTGAGTTCAGCGCTCCCTTCCAGGGGATCATATCATCGAAGGGCACGTATGGTCAGGACAACTGTGTCTACATTAAGCCCTTCTCGAGTATAACTCACGCCACCTTCAATGTGAAGTACGATCAGTGCGGTACTAAACCAGACCTCCAGGGAAAGTACTACGAAAATACCATTGTCATACAGTATGGCACTGACATCATAGAGGCCTGGGATGAGGCTAAACGACTCAGATGTGAATGGTTTGAAGCCTATGAAAAGCCGGCAACTTTTCGACCGGCCATTCCTGTAATTCACTTATTCTCTACAAAATATTCTTTAGATTTATTTCTAAATTCAATGACTGTATGAATAGGTGGCAGATCTGGATGTGATTGAGATGAACTTCCAGGGCGACGAAATAGACTGCTGGATGTCTATCCAAGAGGGGAAAGGTCCCTGGGCCAGGGAGGTGTCACGCATTGTAGCCGTCGGTAAGCGTACATCGAGTGGTCTATATATCTATTCGATATCTAATCCAATGAACTGTTTTTAGGCCAACCGATGACTATTGTGATCGCAATCAACGACTTTAAGAATCAGTTTGATATGAGAGTGAAGTCGTGCTTCGCTCACGACGGCGTTAAACCTGCCATTCATTTGACTGATGAATACGGATGTGTCTTACGGCCCAAAATGCTGTCCCCTTTCAAGAAGATTCGCGACTCCAAAGGGAAGGCAACTCTGATATCTTACGCACAATTCTTAGCTTTCAAGTTCCCGGACAGTATGGATGTCCAAATTCAGTGCACTGTAGAAGTCTGTAGACATGGATGTGCCGATGCCTGCCAAGTGGGTGGACCTCACCAATCAAATAATCCTTCAATGCAGGTATCAGCGGATATTCATCACGCAATACCCGAGCAAAAAGCGCCCGAACATGACACCCACCCCTCATTTAAACCCGAGGATGAGCCGCAGCCTGTGTTCCAAGATATAGGCGCTTCAAACGCAGCCCCGATGTCTCTGATGACAATGAGTAGTGATGTGAACGCATATAATATGAAAAACAATGAACAGATGCACAGCTCGGAAGAGACAACTCATGAATCCCATGATGACTATCCGGCACTTCCGTCGAACCAAAACTTTGATATCCAGGCCTTTGGAGATCATATGTCTCAACATGAGAGTGAAAATAAGCCCACATTTCAAGTGCCAGACCTTCACATTCGTGACAAGGATTTGAATTTTAACCAAAAGTTTAAACTTCCAAACCTTTCTGACCTGAAAATCGGTAATTTAAAACCTGAAGACTTGAATATCGCCAACAAATTGCTTTCAAGTCACGGTTTAAACAAAGGAAATCTGGACTTAAGTAATTTAGCGGCAACTTTCGCACAGGGATTACAGCACAAAGATATCATGTCTTTGATTCAAACAAATAACATGAAAGACTTGGTCTCAAAGTTCACGAATCGGGTCGAAGAACAGCCGATCGCTGAAGCGCTTCAATCGGTTAATGAGAAACATTTGAGTCGAGAAACAAACCAAAGCATTGCGACGACTGAACAATCGCTAACCAATCCATACAATACCGAACCCACACCTCCCACACAGTCGACTACTAATCTCTTTTACAACAATGGGTTACCCGAACCCGAGCCGCCACTGAACGCACCCATAGTTCCTCATCCCTACAATCGGTTTCCGTTTAATATTTATAATCAGTTTAATAAGAAAATTGCAATCAATTTGGAGAAACCACTGCCACACTCAGCACCTGTAGCCCAGATTCTGGACATTCCACTTCAGCCGGGAATGCCATTCCTACAAATACCAGCAAATGAATTACACAAACATCAAATAATTAGCGCCCAAAAGCCTTTAGCCCATAATCCGCATCAAATTCATCCAAACATTTTAAAGCAAGCACTTCATCACCCGTCACATCCTTTCCCACCATTGATTCCGAACAATCAAATTATCATGAATTTGATGGACAAAAGAAAAGATTCTATAATAAACCCGAGGAATAAAGGGAACGGTGGCCCACAATCACAGTTCCCATTCGGGCCGCGATCTCTTCGGTTGCGGCGATCCGTTGATCCGATGGCTAATGAGATCGGTGTGAAGAAGGGCTTCCAAGTGGTCACATCAGTCGACTTGGCCTTCTTCCCCAACTTCACCACTGATTCGGCGCCTATTTATTCGGGTCGAAGAGATAATATAGTTTATGGGGTGTGTCTGCCGGCCGCACATTTGGCCACAGGTTTGAGTTGTATTTTATGGCTAATCGTAGTCTCATTCTCTTCGTGTGCTTTTATGATCTATAAATTAGATAAATATAAAAAGTCAATCCTCTCTAACAATTAATTTAATCATTGTTTGTATAATTAGTTTTAAATATTTTTTGTGTATTAATTTTATTTTGTCTATTATTTATTGTTGAAATAAATTGTGCCACTCATCAGATCTATTAAAACTATCGATCACTCAATAATTTTTATTTATTTATTTTTAATTCACATTTAAATCAACACTAAACGCATAAATCTCTCAATTTTGTTGTATATATTACTTCATAATTACAATAACTTTAGAAAATTGTAATAAAACAACAAATACTTTAAATGTATGAATATATAAGAGAATTAATAGATAATTTATAAGAAAACAATAAATATATGAGAAAGCAAAGGAATTTAAACAGAGTTTCATTACATTCATATTTGACTCTATATTAAAACGTATAATTAGTTAACTTTTTTAGGACTTAATTGCAGAACAAATGATTAAATTTGAAAAAGTCTTCATTTCTATATAAGTATTAAATGGAAAAGAAATAAAAATCATTTAGATTTTTGTTCAGTGATGAAGAAATCAGTCAATGACCAGATCAGGTGCGAGAGAATAGAGACACACCAACTCCGGGTCAGTAGGCCTTGTCTGGTATCTGTGGCCAATGAGTTGATGTCAGTGTAGCCCTCAGGCAATTCAAACAACTTTTCCAACTCTTTCGGTTCAAAGTTCTTGTCCTCCGAATCGCTTTCCAGACTTTTCTTGTCTGAAGTGGTCTTTCGAGAGATATTTTGTGTTAAAATGTTTATCAAACTTATGAACTTCTCCTGAATTGTTTGCGGCAGTGGTCTGATTGAGTGAATCAACACATTCATTATAAGGCGATTATACAATGATTTCAAACAAACCGTTTAATGCCAGGAATGTTACTCCAATAATATCGGTTTCGGTTATGCGGAGAATTGTTAGCAAATAATGTGATGGGTTTGCACTGAAAATACATTCATCTCTTTAGTATCATTTCAAACAATGTTATCATCAATGAATTCAAACCATAAATAAGTTTGAGATGACATCCCTCTGCGAATTACTCAACGGATTAGAGTTTTCACATAAGAAGAAAATATGTCGGCTTTTGTTTGTCAAACGAATCAAATGTAAGATATGATTGAAGTACAAAAAGTAATGACCGCTTCCTTTGTTCTCTGCATTCAATGAAAACAAATTCAATAATTCATACACTCTTCGGGTGAAAGACAATAAGACAAACCGATAAGACTTTTACGAATGGAAGCGTTTGAAGAATATTCTGGCGGCGAAGAACCCAAGACTAAATCAATGGGACCCATGGCTACGATCTAGAAATATATAAGAATTAGTAATTTATTCAGGGAACAATGTGTCCCCAATTAGCACAAATACCTTTTCCAGTGTGAGGTTCTCAATGGAATCAACAAATACAACACTATTTTTGTTATAATTTTTCGAGATTTCAATGGCATTGGTGTTTGATTCCGAGGAGTAATAGGCGTCCACTTTCAGTCCCAACTTTTCTAAAGCTATTTTCGCTGAAATTAGTAAACATTTATTAATATATAAATCGATTCGTTATTTTATAAAACTATTAATTACCAGAAGAGATGCCATCCATGAGTGATAAGACTCTGATTTGTTTCTTATCATTGGATGGCTCTTGTATTGTGTTTAGAGATTTCAATCCATTGACGAGAGGATCAAATAGCGCTTTGACATTAAATCTCCAATTAGTCCGCACTCTTAAAAGTCCCATCTCTTGTGTGTTAGGTTTACACACAAAACACTCCCATTTCTCCATTTCCAAGACTTTTAAGTGAACGCCCGAACCCACCAATAAGTCAATACATTTCAAACAATAGACTCTAAAAAGCAATTATTAAAATTAATAAAAATAATAACAAAATTACTGTACAGTATGTCAAAAGTAATACCGGTGACACATCTCGTTCTCACAAATTGCAAGTTTTCCCAATTGTCCACAAATTGCACAAAAAGACTGAAATTGAAATAGAGTTCAAGCAATCGAAATGAGTAGCAAATAGCGGTTGGATTACATTCTTGTGGTCATCGCCGGGCGCGTACATCGTTACACGAATATTGTCATAACAAAGTCGACATAACCCGCCCTCAAAGATGGGGTGTTCCAGAAGTACTCGCGACTCACTGCCGGCCAGTGCTTCGGCGTCACAGCAACAGGCGATACAAATGCGAGCGATGGCCACCTCTTTCTTCTGAATTCTGTCGATTTGTGAGACTTTATATTCGGGTATTTCTTGCGAATCCGTGCTCTCAGTCCTCTCCACTTCGTAGTAGACTATCTGCTGAAGTCTTTCATCAGTTTTGAGAGATTCCGAGTAAACAGAATCCAAAGGCAAATAAGAGGCCGCAGAAGTAGGTATTGGATTCAGTGGATCAGCTTTAAAGGCGGTTTCAGGAGTCAATCCACTTTTCACTTGAAAGCCACTTCTGGCCCACGAAATGAGAGCACTTTTCTCTTCGTCAGTACAGGTGCTACTCGTGGCCACAATAGCGTCCGATTCAAAGTCAACGCCCGCTCTCGAGGCCAACACTTGAAGGGCTTCTTTCATCCGGAGACTCGTCAGAGAAGACGTGCCTTTACTTAACTCCGAAAAGTTTGGTACAAAAGACTTTATCTTCGATTTGTGTATTTCCGAGACCTGATGGTCGCCGAACCAATAAACCCATGTCTGACCCTTTTTGGCCGCCTTTTGCTTACAGTGCAGATGAGAGATAATGAGCGCCGGAAACCATGTCTTGTAGTTTGGAAGCGTTGCCCAAACAATGTCTCCGATTTCGAACTAAATGTACAATATTTTCATTCATTTACACCATTTATGAGAGCATTACAAATAAAGTGAACATTACTTCATATTTGCCAACAGTTTGTCTCGGCTTTGGTTTATGTTTTGTCTCCACTTTTGGTTCGTTTTTAATGGACTCCGGTATCGCTTGCGTCGGCTCCTTATACGAGCGAATGCGTCGGTCCTCTAAAACTGACTACAATTAAGTGATTTAATAAATTATCTGTTTTGTAAGATTTCACTATAAATTCTTATACTGTATTACCGTAAGTTATTTATATTCAAAACGAAATTTTATAAATATTTTATACAGTATTACTGTATTTATTTGTGTGCCAAAGCACGAATCAATTAAAAGCATACAGTATTAATACAGTACTGTATTTCAATTATATTCACATCAATGTTTGACTAACATATGGTGTCTTTGACTGAATATTATATGATTTGTATACTTAAGAGGAAATAAATTTAATTCTTTGTCGCATTCCATCACTAATGCTATCATTTATGACATAATTGCAGTCAAAAACCATTAAGAGATCATTGAATAGTAAGTTGTTATAAAATGCAATAATTATGAACACAATTCTTAATACTTGGATAAGTGATTACAGAATATCTAAGACATATCATAAGTGCAATCAAATCATTAAAAGTATAGTTTGTTTTGATTTTGTTTATAAATAAGTTATAATCGGTTTAAATGAGATAATATAGACTATAATGCAAATTATGTAATGAATGGAGACAAGAGTTGATTGATAATGAGATTAATAAAGATTAAGCATAGCTATAGGTATCATATATTATAAAAGCTTACAAATAATGTCAATACAATGTCAAGCAATAGGTCTGACCTGATAGTAGTCGACTTGTGGGGGCAGTAGTCTGAGGCCATACTTTCCCCTCTGCAATGGGTTCACATCTGCAGCACTGGAACTACTGTTCGCTAATTTCTGTCTCTTAGTCATCGGTTGAGAAGTTTTGTGCAAAACTTTTGTCACATTTGGTGTCTTTCGCTTGGATTTCGTATTGTTTTCACCGTTTATTACATTTGAGTGAATACTCACTGAAAACCAATCAATGATATCATGGTTTGAGACAAACATTTCATATAATCATTGAATAAGACTTACATTTGGTTTCTTGGGGTGTCTTGTCTTTGGATTCATTGCTTAAATCTAACGGCACTTCTGATGAAGACATCACATCAGACTCTATACGTAATACAAATCAATCGATGATATGACTGTCACTGAAGACATCTATCATACAGTCAAGTGAATACATGTCCATCACATGATCCGTCAATTGTCACAATTAGATCCCAATTGGTTTCAATTGACGGTATAATTGAGTGACAAATAGGCAAACATTGCATTCATTTCATTATAAATACCTGTAGTTGTGGTGATAATGAAGTGAATGAGTGGTCATTGAAAGATAGCAAGCAATTGAGTGTTGATTGTGTGGTCAATGGCTTATTATCCGACGATGTCTTCAATCAAAACCTATTTTCAATTCAATCCAATATTTACTGTTATGTCTGTCAACACACACTATTACTCAGTTACTCTGTACATTGCATACACTAATCCAGCCCTATATGCAGTACAGTGTGTTGCATAAAGCTGTGCGCTATGTTTGAATATAGTGTTAAAATCAATACTTCATGAATCGCAAAATTATGAGAAAAATTGTTTGTTTTTTATGAGCATTACATTTACAATGAGTTCATTAATTGCTTTACAAAACTATTTAACACTTGAAAACTTGTCACAAAAAGGGTTCAATCGGTTGTAATTGCATTTCATGAATAACATGTGAGTGGGAAGGCCTCCCATTCCTATAATGAGGGCAATTCTGGTAGCAATGAATCACATTTCTATAGTATTTTATATACAGAATCTATAGGAATCAGTTTCAAGGAATATTGACCAGGGAAGTTACAGTATATTGCATATATTAAGCTATAGTTGGTGCTATTAAATCAATATTAATGGGTAAAATAAAAAGTTGTCATTTGAACAAGGAGAATTTGATATAGATTTGAATCTTAATGTTAATTATAGTGGAGTTTATATTGTTTGACACTTTCAATGGTAAAGTGATTGATTGAACACTTCTACAAAATACTTGCATGCGATGAGTAAAGTATCATGCTAATTTATAAATCACATTCAATATTACACTAACAAGTAGACCTAGCTGTATGACCTAGTTGAAAAATTCTAGATTAGAATTAGAATGAATAATGTAGTGTTGTGTGACTGACCCTGCTCATATCTATACTAATGGTTTAATGGTTATGATGAGTTCATTGAATAATGTTTATGTAATTTACAATTTAGCAAGTCTAATTTACAAAGTAGACCAACCCATAGGGGAATGGGAGGACAGGGAGGAAAGGGAGGGACGATATGGCAAAGCAGCACAAGTATGCGATCATCACATCATTGATGTACGAGTGATGTAAACATCAATTCAATTGACAACTCATTGATTGTGTGGTAATTAGAGTGGTTTTGGCGCTAATTGTGGACACATTTGGCACCAATTGTGAGGCAATGACTGCAATGAATAGTCTATTGGTATTGGATTTGTGGCAAAGGGTTGACAACTGTTTTGCTCCCATCTCTCAAACACAACTCAATTTCATCGATAAATTGAACGCTATTTCCAACACTCACTGCAAAGTAAACCATTGACTCATTCATTGTCACTAAATATGATTAATTGTAATTTGATTGACAGCCAAACCATTCAGACATTGATGGCGAGACACACGTGGCATCAGACAGTCACCAATTGATCCCTGATTTTGAGCACTTATATGACGTGTGTATTGATTGGAAAAGTTTTGACTTTTTGTCGAAAATAATTAATTTTCTGATTTACTATTGATTTGAACGTCAAGTTTGACGAATGGTTTGAAAGCATTGAAAGGGATTTCGTTAATGAAAACGACTCGCGATTTAAGTCTGTATTCAAGTGTCCACTCATTTGTTATAATAATTGTTTTAATTGTTTGTATAAATCAGAAAACTATTGAATTACTACTCGGAATGCAAACAACTATTAGAAGAAGTGAACTCATGTCTCAGTTATTTGGATCAACTCAGGGAACAGTATCTCTCGGTGTCCAACAAAACCAAAACTCTTCACACGTCTTGTGAACAGCTATTACAGCAACAGGTAGTGTATTGACACGTATTGACCAGTTTCTCACAAATGCTAACAATTTGCAAATGATTGACAGCACGGACTCATAGTAGCGGTCGAGACAATTAGCCAGAAGTTGACGTATTTTAATGAACTTCAGCCCATCTCAAAGGTATTCAACTTCTCAATTACTGTTTGACTGTATGTCTCACCGATTGATAACTGAGTAGAAACTGTCGGCGCCGACAATGCTTGTGCTGAACGAGTCATTGATGCCAATGCTGTCACGTCTGGACGAATGCATCGCTTATTTGGAGTCGAAGAAATACTATTGATTTGAACGTCAAGTTTGACGAATGGTTTGAAAGCATTGAAAGGGATTTCGTTAATGAAAACGACTCGCGATTTAAGTCTGTATTCAAGTGTCCACTCATTTGTTATAATAATTGTTTTCATTGTTTGTATAAATCAGAAAACTATTGAATTACTACTCGGAATGCAAACAACTATTAGAAGAAGTGAACTCATGTCTCAGTTATTTGGATCAACTCAGGGAACAGTATCTCACGGTGTCCAACAAAACTAAAACTCTTCACACATCTTGTGAACAGCTATTACAGCAACAGGTAGTGTATTGACACGTATTGACCAGTTTTGAACAAATGCTAACAATTTGCAAATGATTGACAGCACGGACTCATAGTAGCGGTCGAGACAATTAGCCAGAAGTTGACGTATTTTAATGAACTTCAGCCCATCTCTAAGGTATTCAACTTCTCTATTACTGTTTCACTGTATGTCTCACCGATTGATAACTGAGTAGAAACTGTCGGCGCCGACAATGCTTGTGCTGAACGAGTCATTGATGCCAATGCTGTCACGTCTGGACGAATGCATCGCTTATTTGGAGTCGAAGAAGAATTACAGAGAATCTGAGGTGTATTTGAAGCAATTCCTACACTTGCAGTCTCAGGCACTGTCCACCATCAGGACTCATGTGATCAAAACACTGGAACAGACGTCACAGCAAGTGATGCCCGAAACGAAAGACGCTTTGACTCCAAACGATAGTGTCTTCACATTATTTTACGGCAAATTCCAGACAAATGCCCACAGAATCAAGACTTTAGTGCAACAAATAGAGGAACGCACCCATCAATCGGCACAGTATGCTATTATACACTATATTCACACATTTCATTAGTTTCTAAGAATTGATATAAAGTTGCTATAAATGATAGGTATAACCAATACATGTCTGAATGTCATCAGTGCTATTTCACGGCCAGAGAGTCCCTGATTGGTCCGGTGCTCTCTCTGGCCATTGACGAGATGGTGGCCTCATATAAGAGAAACTATTGTCAACTCATAAGGAGTTCAACAAATATGGTGATCCATATCTGTCAGGACGAGTACCAACTCTTCTTCCAATTCTTCACTAAAACCACTCCTTTGTTAAAGTGAGTCAATACACCAAATACCGGTACAATTCATTATTGTTTGTTGTATTAATTGTATGTTTTCATTATAATTACAGCGATTTCTTGAACAAAAACTGTCAAAAGCTTTACAATACATTAAGACCAGTAGTGATACATTTGGAACATTTGGAGTCACTTTCAGAAATATGCTATATATTGAAGAATGAGATGATTGATGAAAATGTGTTAAACCAATGTATGTTTGCTGTTATTAATTTACGGGTAATTTATATATTAATTTTTAAATTATATTACTTTATAAATAAAGCGCAAGAATTGGAACCATTTATTCGGTCCATTGAACACTTGCTTCAGGACACACAGGAGAGACTGGTGTACAGGTCCAATATCTATATTCAGAGCAATATTGTTGACTACAGTCCCTGCGCTGGAGATCTGGCTTATCCTGAAAAGTTGGAAATGATGAAAGTATGTGATCTTATGCTAAATGACAGATTTGTTATATTAATTATAATTTGAATGATTAGAGTATTGCAGAAAATCTTGTCGATAATAAGACAGAAGATTCAACTGATAATAGATTTAGAAGTCGTTCCGATTCTGTGTCCTCTTCTCTGTCAGACATATCTTTTGTTACAAATGATAGGAATTATGAAAAGGCGAAGAAAGAGATGAATAGTAATAATGAATTGATTTTGAAATATAATTGTTTTATTAATTGTTTGGTGAATATAAGGATCACCGGCTGATCTACACGGCATGTGGTACCCCACTGTCAGACGCACTCTCGTGTGTCTCACAAAACTCTACCGTTCATTAGATGTAAGAGTTTTGATGATTCAAATATACCATAAATAAGATCGATGTCTTAATATACTGTATGTTATGACCAGAAATCGACATTTCAAGGCCTGTCTCAAGAGGTTTTGACTGCTTGTATTGAATCACTTGATTTAGCCCACAATCAAATCACCAAAAGAAAAGTTTGTTTATTCATTTGAATTGACTGTTGTGTGTATTCAATATACCGTAACTCGTATTTATCTCATCTCAGACTTTACTCGACGGACAGCTGTTTTTCATAAAACATTTGTTGATAATTCGGGAACAGATCTCACCCTTTCATATAGAGATTACTCTGAAAGAAGTATCTCTTGATTTTAGTCGAACCAGATGTTAGTATTTTATTTGAGAGTATATTTTGAAATGTATATTAAAATTGTTTGTTTTGAAAAGCGGCGGCTTTTGATTTGTTACAAAAACGACAGAATCTGTTCACTTTGACCACAAATAATTCGTTATTAAAGTTCTTATTTGAGGTATGAATTTATGAAATCCCCAAATAATTTAAGTTTATTTAAAAGTTCATTTACTATTCAATGGTAGGGCGCTCCACAAGTGACCGAAAAAGTAGTTGACTCTCAAAAGGCTGTCGACAATAAGATTAAAAGCAAATGCGAAGAGTTTATATCACATTCCACTCAACTCCTGATGTCTTCGTTCATTAATTTGATTGATTTGTCAAAACCCCTGCAAAATGCCAATCAATTGAGAAGTCACCAAATGTTTAGTTCCGTAGAGAATATCAAGAAAGCGATCACCGAAGCGATGAGTCAATTGAAAAGCAATTTATCATTAGTGGAGTCGAGAATGTCGTTATATTTAGCCAATAAGGACACGGAGACTATACTTTTCCGTCCCATTAAGGTATAGACCCTTTAGAGTTAATGTGTTATTTTTGGCAATTAATCCAAACTTTTTTGAATCACATTTTAGGTTAAAATGCAGCAAATATTTTCAGAATTAGAAAAACTGATTGACAGTAATTACTCTGAAACCGAAAGGCAAGAGATTTGTTTACAGAAATTAATTGAATGTTAATTGAAATAAATATTTATGAATGTTAAAACATTTTGCAATTTATTTAATCGTTTAATTAATTCTAAGCAACAAAAGTATTGTTAGGAATGGAGTTTTGATCGGATGAACGACTAGTCTTTTGTTATATTTATATAATTATAACTCAAAACTGATCAGTTTTTATTTAAATGGCAGTGAAATCATTGAAAGTCATGCGAATTATATTACAATAACAATTAATAAATATCTGACCGGTTTGGCAGTGATTCCTATCCGGCAGTGATTTTCACAGGGATTTCATTTGATTTATATTAAGCTTTGTTTATCTAAACAATTCATATATCACTCGGTTTTGATTTCATAAATAATAATAATTAAAACTCGTTAAAAAATTAATAAATAGTGTAGTTTTGATAAATGACTGATTGGTTTAACAATAAATCACTTAAATCTCTGCTTTGAAATCAGATTCAAGTGAATCGAAGGCACTGTTGAATGCTATAAACGGTTGTCGTGTTTATCGCGAATTGAATTGAAATAATGAATTGGTTTCGAAGAGAATTAGCCATAAAATGAATAAAAATTACAAAAGCTTTCTGTACAATAAGTATAATAAAAATTTCGCTAATAATTTAATAAGAAAGTGGGTTTGGCTTTAAATTAACTAAAATCTATAGTTTAGAGTGAAATCAGAAACTGGTATTTTTGATGCAAACCGAACAACGGCTCACTTTTGTCCTCAGGTTTCCAGCTTTCAGTGTCTCACTGATGGGTCGTTCAAATTGGGACTGAGTCTCAACTGTCGTCAACCAAAAGCTGAACTTATTTGCGAAGTAATGACACGTTCCTCGAGCGCCGTTACACTCTATGAATGGCGTCGCTCTGAAGTCTTCTAAACAACTGCCAGGACTTGACAACGACTGACCCCCACCTTCGGCGCCGGCAGCCGTGTGCTATACATACACGTCGGACACAATGTTAATTGAATGAAATTCTTTACCTAATATATTGAATGACAAGTCATACCATTGCAAAACTATAGCCAATCCATAGCGATGTCCAATTTGGAGGGCAGTCGGGAATATCAAGTGACTGACTGTGGACTGCAATCACATTAGCCGGTGCCTCACACACCGCACATCTACTGATGTATTGTCTTATGGCTTCTTCTCCCACCGGCATCATAGGTATGGGCGCATTGGTCGACAGCCAATAGGACTTGTCGTTTCTGGAGGCGTAATTGCAAACACTATTGAAGTCACAGAAGAGGAATGGCATTGTACTGAATCTCCTGAGACAAGAACCAGCAAAGCCTACGAATATTGAGTGAATAATTAGTGGAAACATAGTTTAAACGGCGATTGATTTCAGACCGAGATCTTGATTGTGTGCCTTTTCGTTGCCCTCGATATACAGCAGACTATATCCGTCCCATATTTTCTGCATATTCTGCGGGCATTCAGGAGCTGTGGCCGACTGACTGTGATGGAGGCGTAATTGCAAACACTATTGAAGTCACAGAAGAGGAATGGCATTGTACTGAATCTCCTGAGACAAGAACCAGCAAAGCCTACGAATATTGAGTGAATAATTAGTGGAAACATAGTTTAAACTTGTTTTCAACTAGGTTAAACGATTGATTTCAGACCGAGATCTTGATTGTGTGCCTTTTCGTTGCCCTCGATATACAGCAGACTATATCCGTCCCATATTTTCTGCATATTCTGCGGGCATTCAGGAGCTGTGGCCGACTGACTGTGACGATTGATTTCAGACCGAGATCTTGATTGTGTGCCTTTTCGTTGCCCTCGATATACAGCAGACTATATCCGTCCCATATTTTCTGCATATTCTGCGGGCATTCAGGAGCTGTGGCCGACTGACTGTGACGTACGAGAAGTATTCCCATTAAATAGTCTCCGCCTGAATCTCCGGCTGGACCCGGATATCCTGGCGACCCTTTAAGTCCTTTCATTCCCGGTGCCCCTGGTAACCCTGATATTCCACGATCTCCTTTCATTCCGGGTAGACCTGGCAGACCCGGTAAACCTGTCTGTCCCGGTCGTCCATATTCTCCTTTAATACCTTTAATATAATTCATGATTTACTATAATATAAATTTAAACATTAAGTCAATTATAATACCTGGAAATCCTGACGGACCCGGTGGACCTTTAACTCCTATAATACAATTTGAAATACATGTCAATATAGTTGCAATTCGCGTGACATTTAAGTCAAACCTGGAAGTCCTGGATCTCCCTTATCACCTTTGAAGTGGTGCAACTCTCCTATTGGTATAGACCCTTTCTCACCTTTTCATAATCAACTCAATGTAAATCTCATGGCAATAGCTTTTCATTGAACTCACCCTTTGGTCCTATCCCTCCCTTAATGCCTATCATTGAATATTCATTAAATACTAATAAACCGTTTTTTGTGTAATTCACTGACCAGGAAGACCAGAAATGCCAGGAATTCCATCAAAGCCTCGGTCTCCTTTGAGTCCAGGTAAACCAGGTGATCCGGGGTAGCCAGCGAGTCCTTTATCGCCCTTAAAACCAGGCAAACCGGGAAGTCCTTAATAATTATAAAATTGTTATTAAATGGTCAAATGATTTATTTTGAGTTCATCTTAAAACCGATACACACCGGGAGATCCAGGAGGTCCTGGCACTCCATCCCCAGAACTGGGAGGTCCAGGAAATCCTCGGTCACCTGAAATTTAAATATTTAAAAATTTTTTGTTAAATAAGAAATAATCAAACCTTTAGGTCCGGGAATGCCTGGCAGTCCATCATCTCCTCTAATTCCTGTCTCACCGTCACGTCCGGGTAGTCCGGGCTGACCATTGAATCCTCGGTCTCCTTTAGGACCGGGCACTCCGGGAAGCTTCGAATCTCCAGGGGGGCCTCTTATACCCGGCAACCCAGGTATTCCAGGCTCGCCTTTAGGACCCGGCACACCTGGGAATCCATCCTGTCCTGGTATACCCGATGGTCCTGGCAGTCCCTTCTCACAATCACCGGGAGGACCTTCAGCTCCAGGGTCACCTAATTTTATATAGCAATGATATTTATGTTGTCTTTAATTAATGATGACATCAAATACCTGGAAGACCCGGCAGACCACTCGGACCTGGCTGTCCATCAAAGCCAGGCGGTCCATAATTGCCTTTAAGCCCCGGAAGGCCAGGCAGACCATTGTTCCCTCGTTCTCCTTTAAGTCCTGGAAAGCCAGGAAGTCCTGGGAGTCCTGAAATCCCTTTGTTTCCCTTGTCAGCTGGAAAACCTGGTAGTCCTGGATCTCCTTTAGGCCCTATAAGTCCGGGAAGACCGGGCATCCCATCGTTCGCTCGATCACCTTTCAAACCGGGCAGACCAGGTATGCCAGGAACGCCTAATTCACCCTTTAGACCCGGTAGACCTCGGGGTCCATCAAAACCTTTGGGACCTATTAGTCCGGGTTGGCCAGGAATTCCTGGTGATCCGGGTAGACCAGACAAGCCCTATGTTTACATTTTATTTTAGTTTATGTCATTATTTGTTTTATTTAGCATTACTTTATCGCCTTTATATCCGGGAAGTCCTGGTAAACCACTGTCGCCTTTAATGCCCGGCAGACCTGGCAGTCCAGGAAAACCATCTATTCCTTGGTCTCCTTTCCTTCCCTGAGGTCCAGGCAAACCATGTCCTGGTATTCCTGGTTCTCCTTTTATTCCTGGTAAGCCATTGAAACCAGAAGTACCCGGTGGTCCGGGTTGGCCCGGTAAACCTGGTAGTCCAGAATCACCTTTATCTCCTCGATATCCTATATCACCCGACAATCCGGGTAGACCTGGTGGCCCGGGAAGGCCAGGGTCGCCTATCAATATAAACAAGATTATAATTATAATATTAACCGCATTACTGTAGTAGTATAGTATATACTGATTTCTTAACCATACCTTTAAAACCCATTACACCAGGCTTTCCCTCCATTCCGGAAAAACCATTTATTCCTCGGTCACCTTTAAGTCCGGGCAAACCGGGTGAGCCATCATATCCTGGCGGTCCCGGGAGTCCGGGAACACTATCACCCTTTAATCCTATAATTTTGTATTGTTTGAGAAATTGTATGTATTTCATAGAATATTATGTGATAAACCTTTAGTTCCCGGGAATCCTGGCAGTCCATCTTTGCCCGGAAACCCAGGATTACCCGGTGGGCCGTCCATTCCGGGCAGTCCTGGCAGTCCAGGAATACCGCCCTCTCCTTTAATTCCAGGTAATCCTGGAATTCCTGGAAGTCCTATATCTCCTTTATATCCAATATCACCTGAATTTTACAATAAAAGTTGTTTTATTAAAAAATTATATAATATTAAAACATATTTCATATAATTTTTTGAATAATTAACAAATTGTGTTAACCTTTAGGTCCGTCAAGCCCTGGGAGTCCCGGCGCGCCTTCTGGTCCCGGATATCCTTCTTTCGCGGGATCGCCTGAAGTGAACAAATGATTTGAGGTTTGATTAATTGAGTAATTTGTTGAATACTGAATCAATAGAAACTAGGTAATATTGAATGGGTTATTAATACAATGACTCCAACCTTTGTCGCCCCTATGTCCGGGCAGACCGGGTAGACCAGGAAAACCGATGTCTCCTTTCATTCCCAAAATTCCTGGTAAACCACGATCTCCCGGAAGCCCTGGAGGTCCAGGCATTCCCAGTTCACCTTTTGAACCCGCAAAACCTGGCAGACCTGGCTGCCCCGGACGTCCTATTCCTGGGAGACCAGGGTCACCTTTCATTCCTGTATTTAAACAATTTGGTTATTTTTTGAATAAAATCCAATACGAATAGCAGATAACACACCGGGAAGTCCTGGTAGTCCGGGTAGACCGGAATCACCTTTAAACCCGGAATCTCCCGGGAATCCCATCGGACCCTTCACTCCTTTGTCACCCATAGTTCCGGGAACACCTTCCAAGAAGTTTAATCGATAAGCATTTGATTCATAATAATCTTTTTAAACACTCTTTAATATTACCCCTCAGACCAGGAGGACCGGGAAGACCATCTTCTCCTCTTTCACCCCTTCCGCCTCTGAGTCCTGGGAGTCCATCCCTTCCGGGGGCACCGGGCAGTCCTGGCAAAC